TGCAATGAAGGAAGGCGTGACCTGGGGTCTCGACCTCTTCATCACAGCGAACGCAGTTTGGAGATTTCTCCAAGCCTGCCGACCAAAGTCTTTTGGCGACCCAGAGGGCCCCACGAATACAGTGGTGATATACCGAAGACCTAAGCAGATCTATTTTCATAGCACTTCCTAAGAAACCAGGCGCAAATGTATGTGAACTCCACATGACAATCAGTCTAATGAGCCACATAACAAAACTCATCATCCAAATTCTAATGAATAGAGCGCCAAATATAGGAAAAGAACAGTGTGGGTTCGTCAAAGACACCGGAACTAGGAACGCGATATTCATGCTCAGAATATTATCAGAAGGAGCAATACAAATGCAGAAGGATGTGTACCTATGTTTTACAGACTACGCAAAGGCGTTCGACAAAGATCTGTTAGAGCTGCTCAGCAACCTGGACATATTCAGAAAAGACATTAGTATAATCAAGAATCTATACTGACAGCAAACCTCCTGCATATTGACAGAAAATGACTTCTGCAAATTTAAAAAATAGAAAGGAGTGTAAGACGAGGATGTGTATTCACACCGGATTTATTCAACTTGTACAGCGAGGCAATTCTGAGAGAATTAGAAATCCTACCAGGATTCATCATCGACGGCCACTATCTTAACATTATAAGATTTGCAGATGACACAGTGCTGATGGCAGACACGTAAAGGAAACTACAAAACCTTCTATAGAAGATGGCGAAGGAAAGCGAGAAGAAAGTACTAAGCATAAATTACAAGAAGACAGAATGCATAAAAATATCAGCAAAAGAATGAAGCCTAAAATGCAGATTACAGTTCGGGGATACTAAAATCAAGCAGGTACACAAATTTAATTATCTAGGAAGTGTTCTAACGAAGGACGGAGAGTCTGACACTAAGATCCGAAGACGTATTGGGATGGCCAAAGATGCAATCCAAAAGCTAAGCAGCGTATTAAGTGACAGAAAACTTTTGTTAGAAACAAACAAAAGAGTACTGAACTGTTACGTGATATCTTTCCTCCTGTATGGCAGCAAATGCTGGACAATCTCCTCAAAGATGAAGAAGAGACTTGAAGCAACAGAAATGTGACTTTACAGAACGATGTTGAGGATACCATGGACCGAACATGTGAGCAACGACGAGGTTTTGGGGAGAGTGGAAACGAAGAAGAAACATACTTAACATGACGGAGAGGAAGTTGAAATTTCTGGGGCACGTAATGAGGAAGGAGGGCTTGGGAAATCTGATCGCTCTTCAAAGGAAAGAGGGACAGAGGAAAGCAGCGCGTAACATACTTGATGGGCTTGAGCAAATGGATGCCGGAAAAGGGTTCGGAAGAAAGACAAAACTTATTAAGAGCTACAAGAGACAGGAGGGAGTGGAGGGCTATGTTCGCCTACGTCTTGAAGTGACACGGCGCATAAAAGAAGAAAACAACTCTTCTTCCATTTAGTATAGCAAATCTTAACATAACTATATATATGAATAATGACAAAAAAACCTTATCTTAGTTGAAGCGTTTCGTCTTAAGATATATATATATATATATATATATATATATATATATATATATATATATATATATATATATCTTGGCTGTCAACTCGCACACGAGTAAGACCACCTCTTGGTACAAAAATCACGTACACGCACCTGAGAGATTGAGGGCACGGAGGTGACTCTTGAGCCTAGACAGTGTTTTAAAAACTCTGCTACAGAAGACACACACACGCACGCACAAACACATATGTGCACACACACACACACACACACATATGTGCACACACACACACACACATATATATATATATATATATATCCAAATGTAAAAGAACGAAAAGAATAAAATTCAAATGTTCATATCATCAATTTAAAAAGGGCTCAATACAAGAGTAGAGGAATATTTATTATATACTGTTACATTAGAACATGGAAATTTTAATGTAACAGTATATGATATATATATATATATATATGTGTGTGTGTGTGTGTGTGTGTGTGTGTGTGTGTGTGTGTGTGTGTACAAACGTGTGTGTGTGTGTGGAGAAAGTGAGAGAGAGAGAGTGAGAGAGAAAGAGTGGATTGAAAAGTTAATACGACTGTTACAAAGTCGTTTAAGTTCGCCTAATTTTTAGCTGATCTGCAGTAAGACTCTGGCTTGATAACTATCACGTACGAGTATTAAGCATAACACTAACACGGCGTATTGATACCAGTTTACATCTACATTTTACATTTAACGGGTCACGAAATTGACAATGTACTCGTTAAATAAAAATTCAAAGAAAGCAAAATTCTAAGATCACTGATAATGTTTTTGCGAGAACCCGATATTTACAACAAAATCCACGCTTTCTGTATAAAAACAAGAGACAGGAAGTGTCATTGTCCATTTCATTTCCGTATGTCGTCGCCCATTTTGTACATTCAGGTACTAGTGTATCCCTGTTCTCCTTTTTTTTACGAGGCGCCACTAACTTCTCTTATAGATTGTAACTGTTTTTTATTTGTATACTTTCACTGTTCAAAATAATAAGCATGTCAACTTAAACATGTGTACCCATTAAAAATAATGTTTATCATAATAAGAAATAATGTCGGATTAAAAAATCATTGTATAAAACTTACTTTATTTAGTTTTATATAAATTGTTTATTTACATTCAACCATTTTCTTAAATACATTTCCACCTGGCATTCTTTTTACTGCTAAAAAGGAAACAACGTTTTTTTCATGTCTCTTGAAATTGACTAAGATGGTTGAAAGTACTTCGACAAAACAACAGAACATAAGTTCGTACAGTTCATCGACAATTTCGATCCCGATATGCGGCATATTTGAAAATCAGAAAATTCAACAAAAACTCAACAAATAGTCCTTGCTGGTTGAATTTAATCAAATTTCTTAGTATGAATTCTTGCTGCTTAAATATACCATATAAAAGAACATTATATATCATTTTCTTTTATATGCATAGAAAAAGGAAATCGTTTACAACTTGAAACAAAAAAAAAGAATAATGTAAGGTGCTTATTGCTTCAGAAAAAGCAAAGTTATCTAAAATTTTGCACATACACACAACTATATATATATATATATATATATATATATATATATTTATATATATATGCGTATGTGTGCGTGTGTGCGCGCGCGTGTATGTGTGTATAGCATAAAATTTAAGTAGCGTTTTGAACTTTGTTCTAAGCACTTATTTCTCAAGAGAGGTCACGAGACATTTTATGCGTTCATCAAGCACAGTTTCGATAATCCTTAAAGATTATCTTTTGCATTTTAACTGTAATCTATACGTGATATTTTAATAATATAGAATAATTTAGAATGATAGAGGAGTTAATACTAACTGTAGCTAAAAGCAAGAAATGTAGTCAGTTTTAGGCCATCGAAATTAACCAAAAATAAAAAAGAAGCATACCAGTAACAATAAAAAATTTAGTCTTTTAAAGGAAATTGTGTGGTATTGCCAGGAAATCTGACCACTCAAAGAGACAAAGTTTCTGAGTCGTGACCCTGGGAAGCGTTATTGCTCTGTTTTGGTAACCTAGACAGAGTACTGTTTGTAACTGTTTAGGTGGATGTTTGTCTTTTAGTCTTTTTTATTTCATTTTTCGATATTCTTATATCGTTTTTTATCTTGGTTTATGTTTTATTCGTTGCTAATGTTTCTTTTTATTAAGGTGTCTTTTTGCCACCTGGCAGGCTTTCTGTTGATTTTACAACTAATTTGGAGTTTTATGCGTATATATGAGTGATTGGTGAAAAGTTTTCGTAAGAACCCACTTCCCAAAATCTGATAAAAATCAGAATTTTGTAAACTTTTCTTGTTTGTATCGATACTTTTACCTAGTATGGTAATGCATCCGAGTGAAACCTTAAAGCAATCCCAGAACAATCCAGGAGAACTTGCAGGGAATTAATTGCAGTGAATGTTCAGAGCAAGTTTAATCCTTCTCGTGTTTTATGTCACATGTATTCTCAACTGGTTTTCCTTTTTCTAGATTAACTTTCACTCAAGGCTAGAGAGGCCAGTTTGTCCTATAGCTGCAGGTGGATATAAAAGATGAATTCATTTGAATGTGCGTTCAAAAAACACCTTCGGAATTTTAACTCGGATCGCTTATTCCATTTTTCTGCGCCGATCACCTTTATTCTACCCGCACATCCTATTATAATAATCATTAGGTTATTTTTCTTTTAAGTGTTGTTCACCCAACAGAAGGCCAAAGAGCCATTCAAAGTAGAGTGTTACTAAATTAGATTATTGTAACAGTGTAAAGGTGGGGAGAGATGCATATTATGAAGATAAGTAGGATAGATATCGGTTAACCCTAAACTTGAAAAGATTAAAATTGCACTGGTCAAGGAAGTAACTATGGTAAATTATGTACATTCCTATACCCAGATGTCTTAAGAATAACCACCATTCAGTAATAGTTAACGTGCTATCTCGTCATGCATTGTGAGAGTGGTTGTTATTCAAGGAATTCTGAAATAGTGTGGCCTTGTGTCATCGTTGCCTTTGTCCTATTCTCCTACAGATTGGAAAGAATATATGCATACACAGAATTAATCATCTTTATCCTGAGCACACTGGGTCATCTTGCTTCTACATAATAAACTCAAGACGTCCGCTTAGCAAAGAAATATGTAACTTGTTCAAACAACTCTATAATTACAGGTGAAAAGCCTCCGCACGAAAATAGACAAGAGAACCTAAGCACATTCTTGGTCACAAGATTTGTTTGGTTATACGTATGAAGAGGGTGTATGTATGGGAGTGAGTTTAAAAGGAAGGGAAGGATTGCAGATGACTAGCGGCGACAAATCATAGGTGGAAGGTGCGTAAAGACAAGTCGATAGAAAGCAGACGACAGAAGAAAAGAGTGCATTTGGCAGGTCGTCAAGTTCCCGCCAAAAGTGAAGTGGAGAGGCGTCAAAATGACGTTAAGAAAACGGATTAAAGGTAAATGAGAAGAAGAAGAAGAAGAAGAAGAAGAAGAAGAAGAAGAAGAACAACAACAACAACAACAACAACAACAACAACAATATATGAACAAATAATAGAGAAAACGAAGGCGTTAAGAAATAAAAATGGGAAAGGCTTGAGAGCCTTTTAAAGAGAAAAGAATAATAAAAAAACAATGGAGAAAGAGGATGAACAATAAAGAAAATAACGAAGAAGATTGAGAAAAAATGAAAGATAAAATTGTCTCGTAAAATAGTAAAATAGAAGTGTTCAGAAGAAACAAAAACAACAACAACAACAATAATAATAATAATAATAACGAATGAAATGAATGAGAAGGGCGAACAAAAGGGGGAAATGCAAAAAGAAAGAAATGATAAATAATAGGAAAAACATTAAGAGAAAGAAAGTATATGAGAGAATGGTGGGAGAAGAAGAAAACAAAGAAAAAATGTGATGTAAAAACGTTTTGTAAAATAGCAAGAAAGCGAGTTTCCATAAGAAACACATTAATAATAATAATAATAATAATAAGAAGAAGAAGAAGAAGAAGAAGAAGAAGAAGAAGAAGGAGAAAAAGAAGAAGAAGAAGAAGAAATGAATGAGAAGGACGAGGAGAAAAGGGAGAAGTGCAAAAAGAAAATAATGAAAAAAGGAGGAATATGATTAAAAGAAAAATGGTGAAAGAAGGAGAAGAAGAAAAAGAAGAAGAAGAAGGATGTACTACAAGTCCAAGTATACGATTATACTGGTTTTTGAGGTAATTTGGCGCCAAATCAAATATTCTTTCTGTCCAAAGACGTGAGTTACCTTTGTGCCAAACAAAGCACGTTTTCTTTATCGTGAAAGGACGACTTCGGAAGGCAAATCAGGAACCTGACCGGCTTACTTACTCAAAAGAGAACCTTGTTTCTAGGAGACTAAGCACTTATTTCTCAAGAGACGTCACGAGACATTTTATGCGTTCATCAAGCACAGTTTCGATAATCCTTAAAAATTATCTTTTGCATTTTAACTGTAATCTATACGTGATATTTTAATAATATAGAATAATTTAGAATGATAGAGGAGTTAATACTAACTGTAACTAAAAACAAGAAATGTAGTCACTTTTAGGCCATCGAAATTAACCAAAAATAAAAAAGAAACATACCAGTAAAAATAAAAATTTAGTCTTTTAAAGGAAATTGTGGGGTATGATTTAATACACTTGAAGGAAAAAAAAAAACAGATGAAAGACTTTCTTCTGTACAAATAATTAATAACTTGACATTTTTCTAGGTGATGAAATGGTGTAAACGCTTTTTACGGGCTTCCAGAGAATTGAAGGGAATTTGTATAGAGAACAAAATAAGTAGTAATCCGAAGGTACAAGGTCGGGTGAGTACGACGTGTGTTGTGGAACATCTCTGCAAAGCTGTTAGAATTTCTGCTAGATTGGCAAAGAGAAGTGAGATCTGGGGTTGACTTCATGGATGACGATAGCCTTCCAATTTACCAATTCTGGAAGTTTTTCATCGATTGCTGCTTTTAATCGATCTAATTGGGAACAGTATTTGTCTGAATTCAACGATTTTACGGAAGGAGCTTGTAGTACACAACGCCTTTCAAACCCTGCCTTCTTCGTGCTTTCGTTCTCCCCAAGGCCATTTTCACTCTATATTGTTGCAAACAATCCATTTTTCGTCGCCTGTGATCTTAAAAAAAAAGTCGTTTTTGTTGCGTTTGAGCAGAAAACCACAGATGCGGTCTATTAATTTTTTTCTCCCATTAAAAGGTAAGGCGCCGAAACAACATAGCGATTCACTTATCAAAGTATTTCCAATTGTCTTAATAAAGTTCATGCGAGATATGTGGAGTATTTGCGTATCGTGTGATTATTTTAATCTAAGTTTCGAATTGGTCGTTAACAAAGTCTGCAGACCTGCAGGAACATTCTCGGTCTTCCAAATCAAAATTTTCACTTTTGAAGCTAAGGAACTATTTAGGAATAATACTCTCAGCTATGCTGCCAACTTCATAAACAGCACACAACAACTTTTATTGTTTTCACAGTGTTTTTTTTTTTTTGTTTTGTTTTTTTGGTGGTGGGGGGTGGATAAAAGGACATCGAATTATAAAAATGTGTCTCGTTTTCGTCCATGATCACAGTTAACGCAAAAGCACTTAAAATTCTCAATCCACTCACGAATCGAAGAGAAAACGTGTTGAATATAAATAGCGTTTTTTCAGTAGGTGACGTGACTGGAATTTATGACATATAGACATAAATTATGACATCTAGTCATACATTTTGAGTAAGTGATTTCGTCACACACGTGAAGAGAATTTATGGCATATAGTCATAAATCCTGACCTATAGTCATAAATTTCAATCACGTGAGTGACGAAATCATTTACTCAACGTCACCTACTGAAAAACTAATTAACGTTTGTTCCAACCCATATATATCTTAATTACAATTTAATTGAATATTTGATTTTTTTTTCTTGCTATAAATTGACCTGGAACATTCGCCGTAAAGAAGTGGTTTGCAACTTTATCTTGCCGACTGTTTGTACTGAAATAAGTTTGATCCTCACTAAAGATGCTTCACCTCATGGAAGAGAAAGTTAAGTTTAATAAATTCGAAAATCAAAGATGAAAAACATTCGTAAATTCTTACAGGAATCATTTTTCAGCGCTTAATTTTTATAACTATAGTCAACGCTTTATGACATCATGCCAATTTTTGCACACGAGTTACTTCCCCTTACTATATGTCGATGGGAGAGTATGACACAGAAGCTCATATACAAAACACAGACTGAATTGTTTGTATTTTCTCTTCAATATTTATATACAGTTTGATTGATTACAAGTCCTGTTGATCTTGTATTAATCCGAGTTTGGTGCTGAACAGTTCTCACGTCGATCAAGAAGGGATTCCAAAATAAAATTTGATGCTTCTTCATCTGGTCAAATTCTGGAAAAGTGACTCGGTTCGAGGATTTTCAACACATTCTCGGAATGGTTGATGGTTTCATTACATAACTTCTATAATGTTTCTTTACATTAATAGATTTTAAATAGAAATCAATCGCAAAATCTTTTTAATGACCTTTTCGGAGAATCTTACGCTCACAGGACATATCGAAGAGGACACAGTGAGTGACTTTTTCAAAGAATTTGTGTGAATGGATGGCAAAAGATAAAGCGAGGTGGCAAAGTGTTACACGTGATGCTACTGAAACGGTTATCGGTACGGAAAATGACATCGGCGAGCTGACTTCAAGTTCCTGCCTAGTTTGTTGTATTCAGTTCACACTTACGCCCTTAGAAAAGGCATGAATCTATATCTATCCCTCTTTCTATGACTAAAACCACAAAGTAGACTGGACTCTGTAGACTTGAATAGCAACCAGTACAGAAGAATGATAAATTTCATTTCAAAACCGTGAAAACGACAACGGATAACCTATCCAATTTTCCATGAAGTCATGGCAATTTACAGTTAATAAAGAAAAAGAAACCTGTGGGGAGAGATGATCGTTTACGCCCTGAAAGACATAAATTAAAAATGTCAGAATTTACTTTCAACAACAAAATACAGCAAATTGTGGAGAGATATGACTGCCCACGTCTTGAAGAGATACATAAAGAAAAGAAGAATTCTATTTATCAAGGTGGTAAAAATGAAGTGTCGTTCATTATAACCAACTCTGTGAGTAAATATGCTCCCCTACTTATTATACTTAAGAAAAGAAGGTGTTTTGTCAACTTCATATTCACATGTAAGACACTAACTAGTGATATTTGGGAGTGTATCATATCAATTTGTGATGATTTGGGACAGAATTATTGTACTGGTCAAGAAGCGCCATATTTGTTTTCCGGAATATTTGTAGAACATATTCTAAATTACAAAGAAAATGTTAATTTAAAGCACGAATGGTAAGATAGATAATATAAAACCTGTGAATATATTTTGTTGAGATACACAATGACATTTTTATATATGATTTAGCTGAATAACATTTAATAGAGCGTATTTAATAATGTTTCGCTACAACTCAGATTCAGGTTGATTTTTTTTTTTTTTTGATATTTTTTGTGTGTTTGTGTACTTACGGGTATTTCAACACAAAAGGATTATATCGTTTCACAAAGATTTATAACATTTTTGAAAATTTATGTATATATATAATTATTTTCAATGACATTACATACAGATTCATAGAGAAATATTTGCTAATCTCAGTTTTACACCGGGTCACGACAGTAGGGACTGGATTCAGTACATTTACCGAATGAACAATCGAGAATAGATTAAAGGTGGATCTATTGAAAATACTATATAGAGAGAGTGAGTAAACAAATGTCAAGACGGAAAACTACTGCGACACGTTTCCTTCAGAACGAAACGCGTCACAATACAGTTTTTCATCTTGTCATTTATTTATTGGCTATTATACAACTGAGTGCGTAGCTGAGTGGTTTAAACATTAGCGTTCCGACCACAAGATCTAGATTCGAATATCACCATGGTCGATTTGTTAAAGTGGCGAGATTTTTTATAATATTAGCTTAAGGAGACGATCCCAGACTGCGGTACCATTGGAAAGCGCTTAAAAACATTGCCACGGGTTGACTGAATTCTTGTGAGTGAAATTTGGTAAATTAAATTGTTCAGAAGCTGCCAATTACACAACTGTGACATCGACGTACTGGCCTTGTCCAACAACTGTTCACACATGATTGTGCACTCTCTCCCGGAAACTGTAACTACAGCCAGTCATTATTATTCAGATATACGGTATATTTTCTTACATACAGAGATTAATGTATTGATGAAAACAGAGTGAATAAAGAAATGACAAAACGGGAAACTATTGTGAAGCGTTTCATTCAGAATGGACGTTTTCTGGAACAAGTCAAATTACAGTTTTCTGATTTTTGCAATGAATATATCAGCACCCCAAGATTGCATTGTGAATGAAACTCCGAGTCGTGATACTGGTGAGGGATAATATGCATATTTATTACAATATATTTAATAGTTGTTATATTGCATCGATCACTGTTTTATTAACACCAGTACTCAATGTGCGAGTGCCATATTGCATATATATATATATATATATATATATATATATATATATATATATATATATATATTTACAAATTCATGAATTATTCATACAAAAACAAATGCAAAGGTTAATGATTTAACTCTCTCTCTCTCTATATATATATATATATGATTTCTCTCTCTCTCTCTCTCTATATATATATATATATATATATATAGATAGATAGATAGATAGATAGATAGATAGATAGATAGATAGATAGATATAAGTAATGTGATAAATGTATCCATCTATCGATCTACGAAGTCTGTCTGAAAAGGAACTGAGTTTGCGTGTGAGCTCTGGGCGAATGAGGGATAAGCGAATTGTGTTATCATCTAACATATCTTGGGAGTAACTGTAATCTTAGCATTTGCTTCGCTCAGTGCGCAAGAAGAGACAAACTGTGGCCGCTACACCACAATAATGCAACTACTTACAACGCCCTGAGCATCCGTCAGTTCCTGACCGTGAAGAAAATCGCCGTACTGTAACAACCTCCCTATTCACCTGACCTTATTCCGTGTGACATTTTCTTTTTCCCAAGCACAATGGGATCACCAAAGTTTGTCGTGTTATACGTTGCTTTCTTGTTGGGAATTTGCTCTTTAGAAAGGCTTTATTGCATCAGCAATGATTGTGTTCCTTTCAGTCCGATTTTTTTTTTCATTTTGGAAATGCACTCCCCCAGAGAATTCCGCAATATCATTGATTTTGCAGGAGAATGATTTTTGTGGTCCAGTTTTAATAAGAAGAATCTTTTAGACAGTTTCTAAATTGGATATGTGATAGCTTATACCTAAACTGGAAAAATGAAATTAAAAATTAAACAAAACTTGTAGGATAAATTCAATAAAAGAGTTATATATATATATATATATATATATATAGTGTCATTCGCATACAGGCCTGGGTGTGCTATGTGAGCTCTGAGTGAATGAGAAATAAGCGAATTGTGTTATCATCTAATATGACATCTTGGGAGTAACTGTAATCTGTATCACAGCTCATCAGTGCGACTAGACAACCGAATGCATCAAACCAAGACTGAAACCCGACCGATTTAGTATCAGTCGGAGTTTCTACCCCCAAGCGATATATATATATATATATATATATATATATATATATATATATAAGCAATCTGAATTAAATTCAACTGTCGGTATCTGTCTGTTACATTTCGTATTGTATTTTTATAATTTTCAAATAAGTTGTTGCTTATCAGGTTGAGAATTGTGGATAAACCGTCGAATATTTTGTTCTTGCGTTTTTGTTTTTTTGCTTTGCTTTGTTTTTGGTTGTTTTTTTGTTTTTTTTTGTTTTTTTTTTTTTTTAGTACTTTCAATCATTATCTAGAACTGTTGTCAGTATCATAGAAAAGTCGAAGACCTAAAAAGTAGGCATAATAAAAGAAATTAAACCAGAAACCTAAAACAAGCCTACACCGAATTTAGAAATGACCAAGAACATTGTAATTCGGTAGGGTGAAAAATCTAACATTTTTTATATTCTAAACAATACCGATTACAATGAAAAAATGAACTTGACAACAAAATTTAATTAAAAAAAAAACATTGCTCGCCCCTCAAAAGGCAGGTAAATAAACTTATTACAGCCAATAACGCTGGTCAGATGTATCAAACTCCATAAAATTGTAGATGACCGACTATCTATATGAGAACATAAACATGCACAAACCTAGCTCTACGTTCTAATAATTTCACAGATCCTTACTCTTCTATATCATTTATCCTAAATTTTAAGCTAACTGATCCTACCATATATAAAAAAATAAATAAAAAACAAAACAAAAAATATCATAGTAATAGTGTTAATATCACTAATAAGTTTCTTGAAATACTGCACTCAAATTAAGTTAATAACGACACCCGAACCTCGTTGGGCGTTAAAAGTTTCTTTACCAATGTCCCTGTCAAAGAAACTATAAATATCGTAATACTAGTTATCTATGAGCAATGTTCACTCCAACTTCATAATATTAGTAGAGCAACAATTCTACGTAAACTTCTTCTATTTTGCACGTCACAAATACATTTTTATGATTAATACGGCAAGATTACAAGACAAACTACTGGCGAAACTATGGGTTCACCTATTGGTTCTATTTTATCAAATTTCTACATGATTCACGTAGAAAATAAGATTACGCTAAGCTTATGATGTTCGATATATTGATAACATATTCATACTAACGAAAAACTTAAACTAAAAATAAAAAATAATTGACAGAAATCTACGAATAACTGCTCTTCATTTTACTTACGAATTTAAGAATCTCTGTCTTTAACGTTTTAGTAATTTTACGACTTCAATGTATAAAAAACACAAAATGTCTTGTCTTCTTAATTATAAAAG